TTCCCCATAATTTAATCCCACCCCTCTCCTGAACACCCTAGCATTTACTTCTTTTACAACCCCATCTATAAATATATTAAACAACCATGGTGACATTACACATACATTTCTTAATAATTACATGACTATCACAGTACTGTAGCTTGAATTAGATATGCAATACACAATTTTGGTGTTTGTAAACCAAACTGTGTTACAGGAGGGTTTTACTCTCAAGTTTATTATCTACTTTTCTCTAAAGCCTTTTTTTCATATATTCTTACAATGCCTGTTAGAAAGACAGTCTTACAGTTTAAAGGGCATTTGTGGCTCTCCAGCACCTTTTGTTAAACCATGTATTTTTTTGTTGTTAAAGTCTGTTTCTGTGTTTTGGAATAAACTGATTAATATCATTTTCATATACTTTACAAAAGTCCTCATATATTATGTTTATGTTTGTTCCTTGTAATCCTTTTCTTAGATTGACTGAATATGCACAAATGTGATAAACTGGAAGTAACTGTAAAAAGTACTAAAATAAAGGTAATCTTAATTATGATGTTTGATCATGCACATTTATATGAGTGGTGGTAATAATAGTAACTATCTTTCATAAGCAAGGGAAAAGTTATGGTGACAAGTTTTAGATTAACATAGACACACAAACACAAGCAGACACAACAACATGTCTCGGGCAAAACTGGCTGTGTGGTAAATATGAATAAAAAAAATGACAGAGAGATTCCGAGATTAAATATTAGAAAGAATAAATATATAGACCTGAAAAAAGATTATTAGAAACACTGTGGAGAAAGAGAAACACTGAGGAATAAGATAAAATATTAAGGAGATAATAGCACATTAAGTGGAGAAAGAGACCTGAGCACTGAAGTTCAAATAGCAGCAGAAAAGAACGAGACACGAGAAGAAAAAGAAAGTCTGTGTTGACAATTAAGCCACATTATCTGTATTAAAGGAAGTAGACAGCTTCGCACCCCTTAATTGAAAAGTTAAATCCTCTACACTCCTTCAATATTTCTGGAAAATAATTTATCCAAGAAGACTTTACCGTCTAAATAGCACAGTTTAAATGGGTGTAAACCCTCTTGAAGATGATTATTTTCATATTTTATTAATTACTGTTAAAATCATCATCATTACTATTACTGTACTATCATTATATATTTCTTATGTAAAAAACACAGTACACGTGCTTTCATTTTTCTTTTTTGGCACACGTACTCTCATTTTTCTTTTTGGGCCACCGTGCTTCGGTGGGATACGGCCAATGCATTAAAAGAAAGAAGAAAGAAAAAAAAAGTACTATAATTGCTCTGGACTACTACTACTACTACCACCCTTACTCCTTTCTGCAGCTGGAAACATCACCTAAGGACAAGTCTTAAAGAGAGGGGGTGGAATAAATAGGTGGTGTTGAGGAGAATTTGGTGGCAGGGTAACATTATTATATGAAAATCCTGTGACATGAAGATAAAAAGCTCAGCACCATAAGGCATGATCCTGACACCTGTACTGTTTCTTATCCTAATGGACAACATAGAGGAAAAACATGTGCCACAGTTTTGTATCATCATTCTGGATACCAAAATAAGCACGAAAATCACCTTGGTAGAAGATACAGAAAAGATGCAGGAAGATGCAAGCAAGGTTGTCCAGTGGGCAGTGGACAATAACATGATATTCAATGGTGTTAAGTTCCAGCTGCTGAAATGTAGAGGAATGAAGAACTCAAAAGGGACGCTGTATACAAAACTCAAAATCATCGAATAGCACCAGAGGAACACATGAAAGCCCTCATTGTAATAATGTCATCTGACATTTCTTGTCAAAAACACAATATAGCAAATGTCACGACAGCCAGGAAAATGACTGGGTTGATAATGAGAACTTTCAAAACAAAGGAAATAATGCCAATGGTGACACTATTAAAATCACTTGTGCTCTCTTGTTTAAAGTACTGTTCAGTGTTATTGGCCCCTGTTTAGGGCAGGGAAAGATATCAGAGTTATAACAGACACATTGATCATTAAAGCAGTGCAATTACTTGGAATGCCTCAAAATCCTAAGTATGTACTCGCTAGAGTGGAGGCAAGAGAGAGCTACACGATATATATATGGAAAGTTCTCAAGGGACATGTCCCAAACCTATACAATGCCATAACAAAATATTGGAGTGAGAAATAAGGGAGGAAGCATAAAATGAACCCAGTGAAAAACTGGGGTATTGTGGGTACAATAAGATAAATTTTTATCAACATCCATGGTCTCAGACTATTCAACATCTTACCAGAAGACATTAGAAACATTGCTGGGACAAGTGTAGAGGCCTTCAAGTGGAAACTGGACAAGTGTCTTCACCAGGTGCCAAATCAACCAGGCTGTGATAGATATGTGGGCCAGCAGCCAAAAGCAGCAACAGCCTGGTTGACCAGGCAAGCACCAGACAAGCTTGGCCCATAGTCAGGCTCTGGGAGTAGAAAAACTCTCAAAACTCATCAAAGGTATATCAGAGATGTATACCCTAAAGAAGATAACATGGTATTGCTTAACATCAGTAGAAGACTTACATGAAACCCTACAAGAAAAGCTTTCTTTGGATTATTAACCCCAGAGGGGCTATTAATTGGAAATTATAGCTTGAATACTATAGGCACCTTTGTTTAGCTTTACCTATGCACATATATTCATATCAACATACTCCTGCTAAAAAAGTTCTCAGTCCATATGGCACAGAAATTCTCTACTTTAAAAATTTATATTTGTGAACTCGTTAGAAGGAATATTGACATTCATTTTAGATTTCAAAAGTGACTGGATAATTAGAAGCCGCTGCATACTGATTGATATGTGGTTGCAGTGTTGGAAATTTTATAAGACTTTTGCCTCTCCAAATCAATTAAAAGGTGCAAAGAGAATGGGAGAAAAATGGAGAAAAAAGATTAAATAAAGTGTGCTAATGTACATACTACAGAAATTAATCTTGGTAACCATAAACTGTTGACATTAAACAAAACCTCATACACTCTAACATAAGAGCATATTAAACAATTATTTCTTGGACGGCACATAATTTTCTGTTCCGTGTTAGGTGCTATTAAAATAGTCATTTCATGTAGGACATGAGCACCAGCTCTCGTGTTTAGGTGAACTACTCTTCTAATGTAAGCAAGGAAGTGCAGTAAAACAAAGCAGACAGTGGTACGTAACATACAACCTATGCTCTGGTTAAGATCTGAGTGTACTGCCTACACTTAATCCATAGACTTTAAGTTCATAACTATAACAACTATCTAGCAATTTTTTAAAAAAAGTCATTGTATTTATCTTCTGGTTTACAGTCATGTGCTATAGTTATATATAAATTAACAGTACTAGTACAGTACTGTATATGTAAATGTGTATTTATATACTGTATATGTAATATGCATATGTGTACACTCACCTAGTTGTGTTTGAAGGGGTCAAGTAACATCTCCTGGCCCCACTTATACACTGGCACAAGCTTCTTGGCTTCCAGGGCCTGATCAAGCTTGTTTCTTTGAGCTAGTTTTCTCCAAATTGTACTCTGTCTTTGGTCCTTTATCTCTCTTTTCTACTTTCATAATTTTACTTTTCCTGGGATGAACTGCAGTAACTATTCCTGGTCTTCCTGCAGCCTTCTTCTATCCTCCTGAGTTTGCATTCTTATCATTTTGTCATTATGAACCACAAAGATATGGAGAAATCATGCAAAAATATGCAGTCTGTTCATCTGTTTTTGTCCTATCTGACCTCTTCAGTATGTCCACTATGTGTCTGAGATTTGTCTGGCACATCTTTCCAATTCTGAATCCATTATGGTGCTCTCAGGAATTTAGGACTTACTAGATGTACAAAATTTACATTTTTATATAATCTTTTCAAGGAATTTGAACATTACACTGATAAGGGACATTTATATGTACGTACTGTATTGATAATACAAATTACCTTCCAGTCATGTTGCCATTTCTCCATCATTAATGATTTGTTAAAGAAAAGTGTCAGTGGCTTCTGCAGTAATGAATTTTAACTCCATAGAATTTATGGTGGTGCATTTGACGAGTCAAGTTCCATCAAGATTCTCCATACCACTTCCTTATTAGCTGTATCAGTTCTTGATAGGTTTACTTGATTTGTTCTTTCTTCATGTGTAAATACTGCCAAGTCATTTCTCATGTGTATTCTTCCCTTTTTCTGCTTTATTTCAGTTTTTTATCTGCTGTACCTGCCCTACTCTTTACCTTGATTATGTCTACTGCAATTTGTTTTCTGTTTCACCTCCTTATCCAATAATATTCATTTCTGACTCTTTCTTTTATCTTCCCTGTTCTCTGGGGTTAAGTTCATTACACAAATAACCTGAACATACGAAAAAGGAGCTTATGCAGATGTTTTAGTCTGACTTGGACCATTTAATGTTTTTCTCTGCTTGGATTTTGCATCTTATACTGATCATTAAACCATGGTTCCCTCCAGTGTCTCTTATATACTGTATGTTCCTTTGCAAGTAGACGAAGTAATATGTTTTACATCAATTCTTATCAATGAGACAGATTTATAATTTTCTTTTTAATATCAACACAATATTTGGGAGTGTGGTGGACATGTTTCTGTATGAGTCTGTGCACATTTTTTTTTGGTATGTGTAAATGTTTGTGTTTTTTCAGTGTGTGTGTGAATGTGCATATGCATGTGTAAGCATCTACATTAACTAAAATTACGACCATAACTGACTCCTACAGGCTGAGAAAAATAATCAAACTGCTGGCTTAAATCTGGAAAAGCCTACTTTCATGTTTTGTTATTGTATCTACTTACTGCACAAATTTAATATGGTACAATCCAAAAGCCCCACTAGCTCTCATAGATAATAAATATGCATGCATATTTTCCTTTTAGCATGCACTACCTAGATGTAGTGAATGGGTTCTCGAACACAAACCAATAGAAAGATATACATAACAAAAAGTACCACACACCAGGGGAAGTTTGTCTTCAATATTGGCCGCCTCAAACCCTAGTTCCGACTATAATGGCCGCATGGCAGGAGAAGAGAGTGATAGCGTGTAAGACATGGTAAATGGAGACAGAGGATCAATAACAAATGTAAAGGAAAACCCAGCTGCTGAGTCAGGGAAGGATTATTTTATACACTTTAGCTCAAAGGTAAAAAAAAAAAATACTAGATTAAACAAAATTAAATAATTATATATACCTGCAACTATATACAGAATTTATAATACTTGGTGGAGAGGGTATCCCAGTCAAATGCTATTCAAGTAAAAATTAAAAAAGGTTTTCATCTCAGATTTGTTATAAAGTACTATACTGTAATACATTCCAACCCCAAATTTTCACAAATGTTAGATTTAAGTTCCCAAAAATGGGAAGAAAATCTCCAAAATTTATTTACTAAACAAACATTATCAAAAATCCTTCAAGGAAGGGCTTTGATGTTAGAGTAGGGCTGCTGATCCAATCAACTGGATCTCCCCAACTTTTCCTCAAACCAAACTTGATTACCTCCCATTTCTTGTGAGTTTGGTCTCTCTCCACTAATATAACAACAATAACAATCCACATTCATAAAACATTTCTGGCCTAGAGGAGTTCTGAATTTTTTGAGGTTAGACTGTACCATATTCTTGTGAATGGTGAGATACACAAGATTTCTGTCATACATACACTTACAATTTAACATAAATCTTACATACCACTTCTGAGATCATTACATTACTGTATGTATCTTACTGTTACAGACTTTGAATACCTAAGGGTACTAACATTTGTGCAAGTTGACTAATATTTTAAGAATTTTATCATCTTATGCAGTATAGGTTATATAGCTGAAAACACATTATTTACAGGTAATTCTATTTTCAAACTCTGCTTACAATTATTTCTTAACTTTTACAAATGTGGGCTTCTTAACTTTTACAAATGTGTGCTACCTTAAATTATAGTTTCATTTACATTATGATAATTAACCATATTACTTATTAATTGTGGGAGCAACTACTGTAAGATGTTCTGATGTATCATAATGCATAATCATACTTCATACATTTTACTTAATTTTTCCTATGGCCATAGGAAAAAGAAATAAGAATATTAACCTTTGCTCCAAAATATGATCTACTGTATTTGATAAAATGTCTTAATATAAGATGCCATACAACTCTAAGATTTCTAAGCTTTGAACTTACTGGGTATCCTGTCCGCCAAATACAAAAATTCTAGCATGCTAGAAAACACTAAAAACCTGTATGCAGACTATATATTATGCACAGTGTCCACAAAGTCCCATTCTGGTAACAGATATGAAAAAAAAGTTTTCTGCAAGTCGTAATAAGAAAGTATTGCTGCAGCTTTGTGGTTCTATAATCTATGCAGACTCAACATCAGAACTTCTAGTGGTCCACAGTACAACTGATATTCTAGTACTTTGACACGTAATGGCCAACATATCCAGTGTGACTTTTCAGAGGCTGTAATTATTCTATTAGTATCAGGAAAACGTATATAATTCTTCATAAACCTTAAAAAAAAAAAGTACAAAGGCATGATATCAGGGAAGTGTGGGGGCCATCTGACTGGGCCATCATGGCAATCCATCTGCCAGTAAAATCCATCTTATGATAATTATGGCACAGTATGCAGAGAACTGCATTTTCATATCTTTTACCACATTGTTGTAAAAAACTTTTGAATGGAAAAAAATTTGTGTGGATCTCTTGTACTTAAATCACAGAAAATTAAGAACAATATCTTCAGAATAACAGCCATGAATATTCATATATCTAGCATAAGAATTTAATTTTCTTAAAGAGATCTAGTACACTACTAATCCAACAACTCTGAATGTGACCAGACCCATATAAATCCTATTCCAAGGAAAGAATACAATATCCGTAAGGAAGACAAACTGTTTTTCTTCTGAACTCTACCAAATTTAACAATTATAATAAGACTGAAAGAAAAACACTTACAATATTGAGCTTCTCTTTACGGTTGAGCCGCAGTTCCTTCAGCATCTGAGTTCTCTGCTCCATCATGAGTGTTCGCTCGTATGTGTATGTTTGAATGTCACTGTCCATCTGCATGAAGATAAATACATTAGTACTACATAATTAGTTATACCTTGAGGAGATTAGTGACAGTAAAAGGTTAGAATGAAGTGCATACACAAGAACATGTAGTGCAGGTAATATGTGGATGTGTTGAAAGAAGTTCTGGGAAAAATCTGCCCTAACACCAGCTATAGAGCTGTAAACTGCATATCTAGCTCTGAGTACTGTACATTCTGAAATTCTGTTTTCTATAAACAGTGCCCTGGTGTTTAGGGAAGAAAAAGGAAAATATTTAATATATCAAAAGAATGACTTAACTGAATGAAATTAGTTACAATTAGATATAAATACAAGGTTCCAATTTACAGTAATTAAAAATTAATATAGTTTTGAATAAAAAATATAAAATGTTTTTAATTTACTCAATTTATGATTTTTCAAAAATGAATCACAGAACCACTTTTCAATATTAATTAATTAGTCAAGTTTTCATAGGCAATTAGAAGTTTGGTAGCATAAATCATTTATACTGACCAGCTCGACCACATCCACTTCAGCATCAATACGCAGGTGATACAGGAAAGTCTTAAGGTCCTTCTTCATCTGAATACTGTTGTCCTCTAGCTGAGCTACAGTGAAGATGCGCATTTTACAGTTCTTCCACACCTAGGTTACAAACAATAAATTAATAAAACAAAATTTGCCATGTTAACTATTTCCTACTAATATATATTATATGTTCTGACCACAGTAAGAACTACATACAAATAATTACCAAACAAGAAATAATTTAAAATAATTTTTAGTATAGTTTATCAACAAAAAGATCTTGTGAATAAATACAGAATGATTTTTTATTTTGGTTCACCTTGTGTTGTCGGAGGAGGAAGGGCAGGAGCATAAGAAGACCTCCATCATGGACAATCCACCAGATATCAATTGTGCCAGAAACCTGAAATGCATGCAAGGAAAAAAAAATGACAAAAGTGCCATGTATTGATAATATATTAACTATTTACTAATTAAAGACTTTACCCTCTATCAATATTCAGTTCATTAACCTTATTCATTTCTCATTAAATGAGCATAAAAAAGTACATACAGTGAACGTTCATAATTCGCACAGGTTAAATTACAGAATACTGTGCTACCGATGATTTCCACAATTCATGGAGTGAAAAACATGGGAAAAATACAGTTGTGTTTATCACACCTAAAAACAGGCCAAACAAAGTTTTTACGATCAAAATTCTTAGAAAAATAATACTTCTTTCTACTTAATTTTGTCAATGAGAATGCTTTGTGAAATACCTGAATTCTAGTGGCATTCAGACTATGAAAATTAAGGGTACATGTAGCTTTAAAGGAGCAAGGGGCTAGTAACCCCTTCTCCTGTATATATTACTAAATTTAAAAAGAGAAGCTTTAGTTTTTTCTTTTGGGCCACCCCACCTCAGTGGGATACGGCTGGTACGTTGAAAGAAAGAAAGAAGATGTAGCTTTAAAATGGTAATACTAATTCTGCACAGCATTTGTCACTACAAGGCCTGGTCTCTGACTGGGCCGCTGGGGCACTGACTCCCAAAAACCCTCTCCAGGTAAACCTTCATTCAGGTTGGTGATGCTTAACATCCTGGAGTAGAGAGGGTGGCTTTGGCCCTCCTGGAATGAGGTTGATGGTTAGGGTTGGTGATGTGATGTTAAAAGTCTGGCATCTTGGGATGGTGATGCAGCTTCATCAGTTGATTGTTGCAGTAGAGTACTCAAGTATTCTGTCATATTTCACTGGTTTATTTTAACCAGTTCTTTATACAGCCCATTATGCAATCTAAACCAGTTAACTCGCCCAGAACTAAATGTGCACTCATTTCTGGGTTGTCCTTCCTCCTCATGCAGTGTTTTATAGTATCATAAGACTTTTTCCTTAATGAGGCCATTAAGTGAAACACCTTTCTTTGTTTTTCAATCCACACATTTAGTTAGCTATGTTTTATTTAGCTGTAATGACCTATTCTTCATTCTTTTCACTATGTCACATTGAGTATTTTCCATTGCACAAGCCTTTATCTCCATCTCATTACCACAAATTAATAAATCATTGACTCTCTAATACCAAACACTTGTGCCATCCCCACAAAGTTTGCACCACCATTCAGCATCTCAATTACCTCTAATTTTTTAAAAATAGGCAGTTTCATGCTTAATTTTCCTCCTTACTTCAGTATCATCACCTACACTTTGTTGGAATGCCATGATAAATAGTATCCAGAACTAAGATGGGGTGATGAAAAGAAGGAAAAATTGAGCATTGATATACAATAACCCACATGGGAGGCTGTTTGTTTACATTCATTCACCCTCCCCTAAACCATCCTCTGCAAGCTAAGACAATGGAGTTACCCAATGCATAGTGATAGGTCTTCTGCCTGCCTGCAGAGGCACTCCTTAATGGAAATGCATGCCACTAATGGAAATGAATTCTGCTCCAGCACACCTTAATATAAATGACATGCTTCTATCGGAATTTTTTTTAAACGCTTTGGCCCTCTCCCACTGAAGCAGGGGTAATTTATAGAAGAGAAGGAGTTACTATTCCTTTGCTCCTAGCATTTTAGTTGCTTCTTATGACATGCATGGCTCTATTGGAAATGGAAACCTAAATTTAAATAACAGTGAGCTATGATCACATAACAGTTTTATACTGTATACGCATACAATACACAATATTTATAGAGAAATGAACAAGGCAATGAAATGCTACTATGAAACTGTAATTCAGTTTTTTAAAATAAATATTTTTGTAAGCAACTGATATAATAGACTTTAAGTAAAGTATTATTTGCAATGCTTAAAATAAACCTCTGATGATCATATTCAAAAAGCTCTTACCTTTGACATGGAGTCTGGGTAGAAGTTTATACCCTTCGGGACAAGAAGTGCCATCTTTGCAGCTGATACATTACGAACGGTATCAAGGAACACTCTCCACGACCGCTCATCTGGGGAGTGCCGCCATCCATAGGGCCATCCCAGAATAACAGTGTTGGGTTTCATGCCACCCAAACCACAAGTCTGAATACTGTAAACAATATAAAAACTAAAATACTGTACTAACAGCCTTACCATAAATACTACAGGAATTACATAAATGAAACACTATTGTACATATGATGGTATTGGTGTAATTAATATTGGCCAATGTAACAGAAAAAATTACACATTTCCTACTGTTGTTGTGTGTCATGTTATACTATTGTTGTGTTTAACACACTGGGGGTCTCCCACTGAGGCAGGGTGCCCACTACTACAGCCTCTCCTCACTTAACGACGGAGTTCTGTTCCTAAGACCTCGCCGGTAAACAAATTCGTTGCTAAGTGAGGAACATACTATAATGGTAGTGGGTTTGTGTCAACCATCTTTGATATTGTTTTAATGTCACCTTTGCACCATTTATAACATTTCTGGTATATTTTTAAATGTATAAACATTGAAAAATGTAGTGTACTGTATACTGTAATAAACAGAATAGAGGAAATCAGCTCTGATATACATTATTTAGGTATGCATACTGGTCAGAGAGCCTGTTATAAATCCGAGTCGTCGCTAAGTGAGGAGAGGCTGTATTATATACTGCATATATATTATTTTACATTTTGATGTGAAGAACTACCTTTATCCCTTCAGGTGATGATGGTTAAATATTTTGGTTATGTTCTGTATCACAAAAACAGAAGCAAATGGAGGGATACTCATTGACTTCAGTAAGAGTCCACTAATAATAATGCAAGATTTCTGCTCATCCCTTTCTAGGTCACCAATGGGCTATATTAAATACCTACATCATTCTCTTGTAAAACACAAGGTGTCAAAGAAATGGTAATATCATACAACTACAGTAATTACTGTAAAATATAACAAACTTAATTCTGAAAAAGACAGTGAACACAGAATACACAAATAACCCGCACATAGGAGAGAGGATCTTACAACAACGTTTCAGCCTGACTCAGACCATTTTCAAAGTCACGCTAACAGAAAGGTGAAAAGGAGGCAGTATATATAAAGGCCTGTCAGCTGGCCTATATATACTGCCTCCTTCTCTCCTTTGTTAGCATGACTTTGTAAATGGTCCAAGTTGGACCAAAACATTATAAGCTCCTCTCTCCTGTGTGCTGGTTATTTATGTATTGTTCCAGTCATGGTATTGTACCTTTTTGTTCTTTACAGTGAACACAGTTCCTGTAGCTACAAAATAGTTATTGGATAATCAGAAATTCAGTACAATAATCACATCTGATGTTCGGTGTACTCTACATACTGTAATTATTTTTAAATTAACAGTGCCTTTCCTTAATTTTATGGTATTCTAAGAATAGACCACATACAAAAGATTATTCTTTACAAACAAATAATTATGTCAATTACTAATTGAGTACACTTCACAGAATATGTAATTTAAAATTAAAAGAAAAATCATAATCTAACAAAGAGTTCTGAAAAATTGCTAAACAAAATTTCAAATACTGTACATGTGACTGATGCCTTCTGTTATGTTCTTGGCAATCAATGTGTCGACGAAGCCTTTGACTTTCTCTTCGTTCATTGCACGACGTAAACTTTGCTTGGCAGCATGCGATTCTCCGTAACTTTTCTGTTGTGAAACAAGAAATAACGTTCCTGAAGTCATACAATAAATATATATATACATATATAAATATTTTTTAACACGTTGGCCATTTCCCACTGAGGCAGGGTGACCCAAAAAGAAAGAAAAAACTTTTGTCATCATTCAATATTTTCACCATCACTCATACATAATCACTGTCTTTGCAGAGGCGCTTAGGTACAACAGTTCAGATGTCCCTCCAAACTGCCAATATCCTAAACCCCTCCTTTAAAGTGCAGGCACTATACTTCCCATTTCCAGGACTCAAGTCCACTACCAGTTTCCCTAAATCCCTTCACAAAATATTACTCTGCTCACACTGTAACAGCTCATCAGGTTCTAAAAACCATTCATCTCCATTCACTCCTATCTAACACTCATGCATGCTTGCTGGATGTCCAAGCCCCTCACCCACAAAACCTTCTTTACCCCTTCCTCCAACCTTTTCGGGGACGACCCATACCCCGCCTTCATTCCCCAATAGATTTATACATTCTCCAAGTCATTCTACTTTGCTCCATTCTTTCTAAATGACCGAACCACCTCAACAGTCCCTCTTCAGCCCTCTGACTAATACTTTTAGTAACCCCACACCTCTTCCTAATTTCCACACTATGAATTCTCTGCATAATATTTACACCACACATTACCCTTAGACACGACATCTCCACTGCCTCCAGCCACCCCCTCGCTGCAGCATTTACAACCCATGCTTCACACCCACTATACTCTCATACATTCCCTTCTTTGACTCCATGGGTAACATACTCTGTCTCCACAGAAACCTCAATGCACCACTCACCTTTTTTCCTTCATCATTTCTGTGGATTACCTCATCCTTCATAAACCCATCAGCTGACAAGTCAACCCCCAAAACATCTGAAAATATTCACTTCTTCCATACTCCCACCCTCCAATGTGATATCCAATTTTTCTTTATCTAAACTGTTTGATACCCTCATCACCTTACTCTTATCTATATTCACTTTCAATTTTCTACCTTTACACACCCTCCCAAACTCATCCACTAACCTTTGCAACTTTTCTTTAGAATCTCCCAAAAGCACAGTATCATCAGCAAAAAGGAACTGTGTCAACTCCCATTTTGTATTTGATTCTCCATAATTTAATGCCACCCCTCTCCCCAACACCCTAGCATTTACTTCTTTTACAACCCCATCTATAAACATTTTAACCCTTTGACTGTTTTCGACGTATAAATACGTCTTACGAGCCAATGTTTCTGACGTATATATACTCAATAATTCTAGCGGCTTCAAATCAAGCGGGAGAAAGCTGGTAGGCCCACATGTGAGAGAATGGGTCTGTGTGGTCAGTGTGCACCACATAAAAAAAATCCTGCAGCACACATTGCGTAATGAGAAAAAAAAATCTCTGATCGTTTTTTTGGAATAAAACGCCGACTTTGAGGTGTATTTTCGTATAGTATTTATCGTTGTATTCGCGTTTTCATGGTCTTAGGTGATAAAATGGAAAACATATTACAGAAATAGAGATGATTTTCATTACTTTTACAATGAAAACGACCTTGAAACTGAGCTCAAAGTAGCGGAAATGTTCGATTTTTACCAATGTTCAAGAGTAAATAAATCACACATGTCCAATACACGTCAACTGGGGAGTCTAATATTCTTTCACTAGTGCACTGATATTATTTATACCATTTTTACAATAATGCAGTCATCTGCATAACAGTAAATTTTGTATTTTTTTGTATGAATAAAAAATCAAAATAAAAAGCAATAATAATATAAGAGGGGCCTAGAGATGTGACTAATGAACAGAGCATATGTTATTTTAGTGCCATGAATGTCTACTTTGTTTATTCTGGACCCTATTTTGAAATTGGCATCTTTTTTAGTTTGCGTGAAATTGGCCAAATTGCCAATTTCTGACCACCATATTGGGTAGTCCAAATTAGTAAATGGGAGGTTTCTTGTACTCAGCTGATAGATAAAATGGAGTTCTAAAGAAATAGCTATGAGTTTGGTCAACTGGAACAATGGAATTGGCTGAAAATAGGGCTCAAAGTCGGCGAAATCGCCGATACGCATATGTCGCCAAGACCGCTAACTTTGCGGGAGCATAATTCCACGAGTTTTCGACCAAATTTCGAATTTTTGGTGTCACTACCATTGGGGAAAAATTCTCTATCATTTCATAAGAAAAAATAATTTTTTTTTTTTCAAAAATTGAGCAACATAGAATGACAGTTTCAGAGAGGGGCCTGAAACAGTCAAAGGGTTAAACAACCATGGTGACATTACACATCCCTGTCTAAGACCTACTTTTACCGGGAAGTAGTCTCCCTCTCTTCTACACACCCTAACCTGAGCCTCACTATCCTCATAAAAGCTCTTTACAGCATTTAATAACTTACTACCTTTTCCATACACTTGCAACATCTACCACATTGCTTCCCTATTCACTCTATCATATTTTTTTTTTTTTTTCAACAAGTCGGTCGTCTCCCACCGAGGCAGGGTGACCCAAAAAAGAAAGAAAATCCCCAAAAAGAAAATACTTTCATCATCATTCAACACTTTCACCACACTCACACATTATCACTGCTTTTGCAGAGGTGCTCAGAATACAACAGTTTAGAAGCATATACGTATAAAGATACACAACATATCCCTCCAAACTGCCAATATCCCAAACCCCTCCTTTAAAGTGCAGGCATTGTACTTCCCATTTCCAGGACTCAAGTCATATGCCTTTTCTAAATCCATAAATGCAATGTATAAAGTAAAAGGACACAAGTGCAACTAATGTGACATTTTATTGTGGCAACGTTTCGCTCTCCAGGAGCTTTATCAAGCCATTACAAACAATACATGGACACAGAGGGTATATAAAGGCTCAGAGTGAGGTGCAACACTAGTGAGGTACCATTTCGATGTTCATTAGTGGTAGAAGTAGTAGTAGTAGTAGTGACAAAAATAATACCATATGGTAGAGCAATTAATTCGTACATGAGTAAAAGGATATAAAAGCTATTACTTGGGTAACATAAAAATAGGTTGGACAAATATAGACTGGAAAGAGGCAGGTTGTTTCAGTGTTCACTCTCTGTAATGTGCTTTGTGTAGTATAACAGGAGAGACTATGTGATGGCAGGGTTTACTGTTTTCAGGAGGATTCTTGCTAAGACTTCGGAGATGGTGAAGCTGCCGTTGTTTTGTTTAATTGTATTCGAAACAGCGATCAGTGCTGATTCGAGGCACTTGCGTCTGCGGAAATTAGTTTCTTTGATCACTAATTGGGCGTCTCTGAATTTCATGAGATGATTGGTGGAATTTCGGTGTTGTACACAGGCGTTGTTCAAGTTATCGTTCCTACATGCGTAAATGTGTTCATTGAGGCGGGTGTCGAGGTTTCTTGCTGTTTCACCTACGTAGATCTTGTCACAGCCTCCACAGGGTATAAACTCCTGCATTGACTGGTTCGTGGTGCTTGGATTTTGTCCTGGTTAGATCCTTTATTGAAGTGCTAGAAGCGATGGCGACTCTGGTGTTAGCTTGTGAAAGTACTTTTGAGACGTTTAGTGCAACCTGGCTGTTGGGAAGAATTATAACTTTGTTGGGAGCGGTGTTGATGCGTGGAGAATTAATTGATCTGAAGAGCTCTTTTCTTGCAGTCTTTGATGAAAAAAGGAGGAAAATGTAACTCAGTGAATGTTTGGTGAATGTATGTACATTCCTCGTCAAGAAACTCAGGACTACAAATTCGATATGCTCTTAGGAAAAACTCGATGATGATGCCTCTTTTGGTCTTGGTATCTTGACTGGAATAGAAGTGTGTGAGATCATTTTTATTGGTGGGTTTCCGATAAACTTGAAATCTTAGGTTGTTGTCTACTTTGTGAATGAGGACGTCGAGGAAAGGTAGCTTGTCATTGGACTCTTCTTCTAGTGTAAACTGGATCGCCGGTTCAACTGCGTTGAGCCTTGCCTGAAGATTCCGTACATCAAAACATTTGGGAGTTATTACGAGGACGTCGTCCACGTAACGTAACCAAGTGACGCTTGAAGGGATGATGTTGGCGAAGTGTTCGGACTCTAGGTGTTCCATGTATAAGTTGGCTAGGACGGCACTGATGGGGGACCCCATTCCCATGCCGTAGGTTTGTTTGTAGAGCTTGTTATCGAAAGAAAAACAGTTGAAATTAACACAGAGTTCAATCAAGTCAACAAAATCTCCGGGAGGTAGAGGAAGATTAAGGTCCTGATTGACTTTACGTCGTAGAACCTCGATGGCTTTTTTGGTAGGTACTTTAGTGAAGAGGGAAGTCACATCCAAACTGCTTAGTTTCTTGTTATGGATGGAGAGGTTTCGGATGCGGATGATGGGGACCATCAGCCCCGCTCATCTTAAACACTCAGGCGACCTTCTCAACCTTTTTCTCTTTTATCACACCCTTTACCTCATCATTCCACCAATCACTCCTCTTTCCTCCTGCACCCACTCTCCTATAGCCACGAACTTCTGCCCCATATTCTAATACTGCATTTTTAAAACTATCCCATCCCTCTTCAACCCCCTCTCACTACCCATACTTGTACTAGCCCACCTTTCTGCCAAAAGTTGCTTATATCTCACCCCAACTTCCTCCTTCCTTAGTTTATAAACTTTCACCTCTCTCTTACTTACTGTTGCCATTTTCCTTTCGTCCCATCTACCTCTTACTCTAACTGTAGCTACTAGATAATGATCTGATACATGTATATCTGTTGCCTCTCTATAAATATACACATCCTGAAGCCTACCCATCAACCTTTTATCCACCAATATGAAATCTAACAAAACTACTTTCATTACATGCTATATCATATCTTGTATACTTATTTATCCTCTTTTTCATAAAATATGTATTTTATGAGGATAGTGAGGCTTAGGTTGGGGTGTGTAGAAGAGAGGGAGATTACTTCCCGGTAAAAGAAGGTTGTTTAACCCTTTGAGGC